TTTTTTTTTATATTTTTATATTTTAATTTCTTTTTTTTTGTGTAATGTTATTTGACTAAATTTAATTTAATTTTACTTGTATTATATTAAATCATTTGATTTCATGTACTTAATTTTTTTATTTAATGTTATATTTATTTTGTTTTTTTTTAGCTTATTTTATATTTTAGTTTTTTTCCTATTTTATTTAATTTAATTTTACTTTGTTTTAGTATATTTTATTTTATTTCATTTATATAATTTTTTATTTTATTTGAATTTAATTTATATTATTTTTTTAATTTTAGTATAAAATATTTAATTTACTTATACTATTTTATTTTATTTAATTTTGATTTGTTTGATTTGTTTTTATTTTATATATTTATTTGCATAATTTAATTTATTTTATTTTGTTTTATATTATTTTTTGTTTTGCTTATAATAGTATTGTAATATTTGGTTTCATTTTTTTATTTATTATTGTAATTTTTTTTTTTAGCTTAAATTATTTTAGTTTATTTCATTTTAATTAAATTTGCCTTGCTCTATTTTTTCTATTTTATTTTGCTTTTTAGTAAGTTTTAATTAATTTATTTAATTAATTTTTGTTTAATATAAATCTTTTATATAAATAAATTTATTATATTTTATTTTGTTTTTTTTTTTTTTTGCTTCTTATAATATTGTGTTATTTGACATAATTTCTTTTATTCTATTTTTCTAATTTATTTTTTTTAATTTTGTTGAAACTTTTACTTACGTTCTTTTATTATTATTTCATTTTATTTTATTTTAATCTTTACTTTAGTTTATTTAAAATTATTATTATTTTTTCTTGATTTCAGTTAATTTTAATTACTCTTATTTAAATTTGTTTAATTTTTTATTTTTTTAGTTTGTATTTAATTTTGTTTTATTCATATTTTAGCGTTGAAGTTTTTTCTATTATTTTTTAATTTTTTTTTTTAACTTTTTTTGATATTATGTTTAATCACATTGCATTTTTGTTTAGTTTGATTATTTAATTATATTCGGTTTACCGTTTCATAATTTTAACTATTTTTTTATTTATTTAGATTCGTTTTATTAAATTTTTTAGTTTTCCTTTGAATAATATTTCTTTTTTCTAGTTTTTTTCCAAGTTTTTTATTCCAGTATTTTTATATGTATGTCACTTTAAGTCGTGTTCAACTTTATCTTATTCCTTATTCATTATAAATCGTTTTTACTTTTTATTATTTTATTCTACAAATTTCATTAATTAAATCTTTAAATTTATTTTACTTATTTCTGTTTCCTTATATTTTTTCTTCTTGTTGTAAAGTTAATTTAATTTCTTCCTTAACTATTTTAGAATTTAAATCATTTCGACAAATTCTAACTTTTTAGTAAATTGTTGAAATAAATTTTTATATTAAATTTAAACTTTCATTTCTATAATTTTAATTTTAATAAATTTTTTTTTATTTCATTGTTTTTTTTTATTATAATTTATTTTTATTTTTTTAATTAATGTTTTAATTTTTTACTGTTGCTACTAATAATTAACGTATGCTCATAACCTAATTGCATCATGAGAAGTACATACATACATGCATACACTCGTACATACACATCCGCATTGTCAATATGGCCACTTAAATGTCATTACATTTGAAATTCCAATCCATAAAACGGTTTTGATTGAAGATTTCTTGTTACAGATTTTTCGTTACATAAACATATATAAAAAAGTATTTATTTATTTTAATTTTTTAGTGAAAGTGCTCCCCTTTTCGTGTTTTGTTTCTTCTTCATTGAATAATATTGGGCTATAAGTGTTTTTTCTGTTTTCTAGCGATTGTTTGTGTACCATTGATTTTTCAATAACGAGGCATTGCATAAGCGTTAGAAACTCGAATGGTTTTTGGTAAGGCACATTACTGATGGATTTGAATTCCCACGATCCACTCGTGACATTAATGGGGTAAACGGTATTTTGTACTATTAATTGACACTTTGACACTGGTTGATATGAAATACGAATCTAAAGATAACATAATCATGTAGTAAGGGAATTATTATGAATACCATTGCAAATTGTTTAAGTATTGCTTTGAAGGACTCATAGCCTAACGATCTCAAAATAAACCCCCAATACACATACGAGTATATTCAATTACTAAAAATATGTTAAGATGGTTCTTGCTTTGTTCACTGTGGTTTTGCTTGAGACATTTATCTCTTTTCGTTTTGGAACAGGTTTTCTTGACTTTGATCTCATTAATCAATTTCAAAATCGAGCAAAATACTTTTACATGCATGAGAAGTTCATCAAAGTTGGGAAGCCTTGAGAGTCAGTACAAAGTTTTTCTTTATTGAAAAAATTAAAATTTACATAGTTATTAATTAAAATCCCTGGGAAGCCTCTCTTTTTCCCCATCTCTCAGGTAGTTTTCGAATGTCATCTAAGTTCTTCCTGTTCTCATTCCGACTATTGAGCCATTCTTCGATTTTTTGCAACAGCCAATAGTCGGAAAGTGCGAGGTCTGGAGAATACTATGGTAGGGGATAGACCTCTCTTATCAGCATTTCCGGATAATTTTTGACCGTTAAAGCCAAATATTGTGTTATTGTAAAATCACGTTGGCATGTCATTCGGTCAGTTCTGCTCGATTTTCACGCAATTCGCGGTTCTAGCAGCTTACAGTGCACCACACCAAACCGTAGATGTTTTTCTTTGACATAGATGCAGACAATAATGGAACGTCTTTACTTGGGAATATCAACTGCAGCCACAATCCGTTGTAAAAATCCCTTCCTTTGTTGTCTTTCAAAAATCAGTGCTGAGGTGAATAATCGTCTTTCGACATCTGACTTCTATACGTATGATACCCAATTCCTTGCTTTACATGACCCTAATCGGACTGCCTACCAAAAAGTGCAATTTATGGAAAAAAAAACATTATGAAACGAATTTCTATCTGCAAACCACTGCTGAATCGTAGCGAAATCAGCGTAAGAAAAGTGGAAGTCCTCGAGGTAAAGTAAATATCCACGATGAGCAGATCTTCTACGGCCAAATTCTTAATTCGAACCTGTACTGCCAGCAATCGGACCAGTTGAAGAAGGCAATCACCCAGAAGAGCACAGCTTTGGCCTATGGTAGGAGAATTATGTTTCATCTGGACAACGCCAGACCGCACACATTGATAGCGAATCGTCAGGGGCTCCAGCAGTTTCGTTAGGAAGTTCTTATGCATCTGCCTTATAGTCCGGATCTCACACCAAGTGCTTAAATCTGTTCTCTTCTAAGGCGAATGATTTGGCTGGTGAGATTTTCCTAACTATTTTCCATTGGTAGGGAATTTATAAAATTTACTAGTACAACATTAAAGATTTTTAGGCGCAAGGTAATCTGCATACATTCCTCAAATGCAGTCGAATACAAGTATTTGCCGAAGTTGCCATAGTTAAGTGTGAAGAATTTAGAAAGGAACGATTAAAGCAACACCAATTTCATTCTTTCTGGGCATGACAAGGTCGTGTTTAATTAGTAGAATATGTTAAACTAAATAAAAATTTGTTTGTGGCATTTTTCAACTGCTTCGTCTTCTCTTTCCATTTATTTTTTTTACAAACAAACCAGTTTTTATTAATTTTTGGCATTTTTTTCCGAAAAAATACTAATTTCAACGACAATTTAGGCAAAAAATGCAAACTTGTCACAAAATTAAATTTAGAATTTAAAGCCAAATTGCGATCACCACTGCAATCTCAACTCCTAACGAGCACAACAGTTGCTGACTGCTTGACTTGTGTTTGACTGATCTTCAACTAGGCATACAAATGTACTGGTGGCTAAGCGAAAGTGCGATCGTGCTGGCAATGAACGTTGTTGCCAAAATGCTGGCATCTGCTTGACTGAATGATCCAGCCAACGAGCGAAATGTTTGTTAACCATTTGACCGTGGGGCGGTGCGGCGGTGCGGCGCGCTGTTGCCACTTTGTGGCATTTGGTCTAATGAGAGCGATCACGAGACGATCCAACAACGAAACAGCAGACGGCCGACAAGCGAACCACACCGGCCAGCTGTGTGAGTAACTATGCAACATTTGGCATGATTGAGATTGTGGTGCATGACGAAGAAGATGTGTTGCAGATGCAGATGAAGTTGAGTGCAAAACACAAGGGGAAAAAGAAGAAAACAAAGCAAGTAAAATTAAACGAATCAAAATCACAACAACTAAGCCGCGTACGAATAAAACAAATAAAATAAAAAGCAAGCAAAAACAATTGAATAAGACCGAATCGAAGCAACGAGCTGTATGAAGTTTGCCTTAATGATCATTAGGTCGGCGTCAGCAGAAGATCACCGCCGACCACCAGCCGACTTGACTTGAAACAATATAACAGTGTAATATTAGTAACAAATGAAATGAAAATGAAAATGAAAACAATAGCATCAGTGGGCAGCAGCGTAGAGAGCGATGAGCAAGCGACGAGCCAGAGTGTTGAACGCGCGTGGAAAACTTTTGAGCTCTCGAAAGTTTGGAAGTCTTTCTTTCACCACTTTGTTTTTCATTTCATACTTTATGTGTTGGATCTCGATTGTGTTTTGTCTTTGGTGAGGCAATGAAACCGAAAGTAATCGCACACGATCCACAAAACCACTGCCAAAAGTAACAACAACACGCTGGCACACAATCTCATCAACCGGCGCGCTACAATAATAATAATAATAACATTGGCAACAATGAAAGCAAAAGCCAAACACCAACCAACAAAAGCCTTCTTCAATTGCACCAAAAATTAATGTTGATTTCCCTCTACCGCCCGCCAGCGTACACACTCAAGCAACACATTGCAGACGGCTCTACGCATGCGCCGGATGGCGCTGACTTTTGCATTTTGCGTTTTGTGTTTGCGCGCGCGCGCGCTGTGTCTTCGTTGGCAGCGTTGACTTTGCCGAAACGGTTTTTGCGACGCGTACCTATATAAGTGTTCAACTTCGCAGCAGAGTCATGCAGAAAGACGCGCCGCGCCGTACAGTGAATACAGTGGTCTCTTGCCTACAATTTGTGTACTTGTAATTGGATTTATACCTCTCCAGTAGCAAAACGTTATCGTCGTCGAATATCCTTTGAGACTATTTAAAAATTGTGTTCGGAAAACTCAAATAAAATGAAACGTTTTTGTGCGGTACGTTGAAAGGAGTTCATTACTAGTATTCTTAGGAAAAAAAAATCTAAAAATTTAGATTTTGAAAAAAAAAATTAAGAAATCAAACCATTAAAAACCACAAGAAAAAAATATTGAATTTTGTGAAACAAAATAAAGGGCGGAAAAGAAACATGGTTGAAAGCAACTTAAAACAGTTTTGAAGGACGAAATTCAACGAACAAACAAATGTTGAAACTTTGGAATATATCTAATATTCCACAATCTATTAATTTCGTATAAAGCTTATATATTTAAATAATAAATATTAAAAAAATCTAAAATTTTAAACATTACAAAATTTTCGTAAAAAGAAAATAACTTTTTAGATTACAATAACAATACATAATCTTGGATAAAATAAATAAAAAAATTTTAAGAATAAAATATAAGATTTTAGAAATTAAAAAAAAACTACAACTCTTATATAAATAACTTAAAAAAAACTAATACTAAGAACAGCAAATAATAATAAAAACATAAATAGATAGAAGTCAATTCAAATAAAGAAAATCAAATAAACTTAAATACAAAAAAATGATTGAAAAAAATTAATATAAAATAAAATTTAAAAAAAAATATAAAAAGTATAAATATATTAAAATTAAATGAAATAAAAAATATTTGTCAAATTTAATTTAAAAGCAAATTAAAGAAAAATAAAAATATATAATGCAATAGAAATCAAATATAAAATATAAATAAAAATTATTAATATGAAAAAAAAACAAGTTAAAACATATATAAAAATAAAGATAGGTAAAGTAATATAAAATAAAATAAAGACAAAATAAAAATAAATTTAAGAATAATAAAATAAGATAAAAATAAAAAATAAGATAAAATAAATATTATAGAATAAATTAAGAAAAATAAAATAAAATAAAATTAAAAAAGAATTAGAATAAAATAAAATGCAATAAAAAATAAATAAAATTAAATAAAATAAACAAAGAAAAAATTAAATAAAATATATCAAAATGTAATATAATATAATATAATATAAAATAAAATAATATAAAATAAAATAAAAAATTAAATAAGTTAAATAAAAAAATATTAAAAAAAAATAATAAAAATAAATTAAAAATTTTGAAATAACATAAAATAAAATAATATAGAATAAATTAAAGTAAAATAAACTAAATAAAATAAAAAAAAAATGATTTAAAAAATACAGTAAATTAAAAAAAAATTAAAATAAAAATAAGATGGAATTAAATAACAAAATATTAAAACAAAATAAAATAAAAAAATGTGACATGATATAATAGACATTAAAAAAAAATAGAAAAAAGAATTAATAAAAATAAAAATAAAATAAAAAAGCATGAAATAAAATAAAGTAAAAAAATAAAATGAAATAAATTGAAAAAATTTAAGCAAAATAATGTTGTAAGAACGAATTTCAAGTAAATGAAATGAAAAAACAAAATAGCTTAAAAAAATAAAAAAAAAAATCAAATGGAATAAAATAAAATCAATGATGCGAAATAATAGAAAACAAAATAAAATTTAATAAAATAAAATAAGATATTTTAAAATGAAATAGTACTATGTCAACTAAAATAAAACAAAATCAGTTAAAATAAAATCATTTACTGCTAAGTAAAATAAAATTATTAAAATCAAAATTACATGTAACTAAATATAATACGTTTAAGCAAAATTAAACTAATTAAAATCATATAAATAAAATTCAAAATTAAAAAATGAAATTTTAAAAAAATTTAATTGAAATTAGAGAACACAAAATTTTCTATTATTAAAAAAAAATAATACACAAAATTTTCTATTATTAATAAAAAAAAAATTAAGAAAATATTATTATATTTAATATTAAAAAAAAATACAAATGATGTTCCTTTGAAATGTTAAATGTAGTGAAATAATAAAATATTACTTACGAAAAATTAATTTAAAATGTAGTTTGGTTCAAATATAATTTCATAAAATTTCGTTTTAACAAATATCGTTGAGCGTAAATTACACTACCTAACAATTACATAAGCATTAGACGAAATACAAACCAGGATTAAGACATATCATTGAATGTTATGCTATCCTATAATTGCTTATTGATATTTTAAATTTTTAGATAACCATATTTGAAATAAATTCCAAATCCACCAGAAATAAGTTTAAAATGTACAAACAGTTCGAAAAAAGTCTTAAAAAAGAAATACAGAAATAAAAAAGAATTAACGAAACATGTTTGAAATGAAATTTAAAAGGTTTCAAATATATATATTTCGAATCTTTCACAAATTTTTCAAATTTTCATAAAATATTTTCTACATTTCCGAAAAATTGCAACTTTTTTAATTAAAAAAAAATCACAAAACTCGAATTGCATTAAAAAGATAAATGAAAATAAATAAAATATTATTTATTTTTTATCAATTATTTTATTGTTTTATCAAGTCGGTTTTAATATTTCAAAAATTTTGGGTATAATAAAAAAATTCATAAAAAATATATTATACAATATTGTTTTTCATATGATTTCAGTACAATAAAAAATTAAAAAATGAAATAAGCCATGTTTTTTCAATCTGGTATAAGTCGATTATTATCTTTCTATTATTAAAAATTATTCACTTTAACAAAACTATTCATAAAAAAACCTGCACAAAGTAAAAAGAACACGAAATTCTGAGTTAAATAATAATAAAAAATTTAAATTTTAAATTTTGTATCATAAAAAAATGGAATATTTTCCTAATGAAAGAAACTAAATCCTAAAATTGAAATTTATATATTTGTATGCCATTTTGTTTGGGTTCTTAAAGGGAAATGATTTTAATTTAAAAACAAAAATGAAAATTTGATTAACGTCTTTTTCTCTCCTCTTCATTCCTATAGGTTTTCCTTGTTTTGGTTGCAGCTGGCTTAGCAGCAGCACGTCCAGAGCCACCACGTGACAGCTACAGTGCCCCACCACCCAGCAGTTATCAACCATCGGCGCCTAGTGGCGGCTATGGACCACCACCGGTTTATGGTCCACCACAGCAGCCGCCTGTGGTGCATAAGCATGTGTATGTGCATGTGCCACCACCAGAGCCAGAATATCAGCCACCAAGGTAAGTCTAGGAAAATATAAATTAAAGATGTACAGAAAGAGGAAGCATAGAAGAAAATAGATATTTTAGTAAGAAAAAATAGGAGAAAGAAACGAAAGCTTATGCGGGCATATTTCGGGTTTTTAGGAGAGTAGAGAAAAAGTTTTTATAATAGTATTTTTTTTTTAATTTTCATTTTAAATTTTGGTTATTATAATGCCTTTTGATCTTCAGAGTTCTGAAACAATATAAAAAGATACTCAAAAAATTAACTCGTAGATAATGTTTTTTTTTTCTCTATGAAATTTGAAATCCAGCTGACTTCAGAATTTATTTAAAAATATTCACACGGTTACATATGTACAATCATTTATTTATATCGACCATTCATGCCATCATTTGCCGTCGAAATATTGACACAATTTTCCATTTCAAATATTATGATATTGACAATTTCCTCTAAAGCCAACATAAATTGTGCCAATGAGATAAAATAATGCATACAAATCATAGAAATGCCGGACAATAAAATTGCAATTTATACACACAAATCGGAAATATGCAGCATATGTATGTATGTATGTATGTATGTGTGAACAAACTAAATTTATAGCTGGCTTTTTTCGTAATTTAGTTATACAAACGATATTATGAGTAGAGCAACAAGCAGGTGGTAAAAAAATTAAAAATAAAAATAGAAAATAAATGAAAAATTGTTAAAAATTAATATGGAAATTCGACCATTAAATAACTAAATAATAATGTAAACTCCAGAGAAACATAATTAGAAACGGAATTTATATTTGATTATGGTAGTTGTGATTTATTCTTAATGAGGCGATAGAAATGTTAAAAATCGCATGCGATAACATTTTTATATATTATAGAAAAGTTATGTTTTGGTCCAGTAAAAAGTTATCAATTATTTTTGCATTAAATTGAAAGCTCTATATTTACCATAGCTAGAATTATGCGATTTATGTTATATTATATATGCAACGTTTTCTCAATAATTTTTTGCCATTATGCGTCGCTCAAGAATTCTTGTTCCTATCGTGAGGCCAATTCTTCACCAGCCTAATCGCTAATCATCGATAGGAACAGATGGTAATCACCTTATAAGAGGTTCGTAAATGGATGGTGGATGCATAAAATCTACCCAACTAAACTCTCAAAGCTGCTGACGAGTCACTATCGATGTGTCTGGTCTGGCGTTGTCCTGTTATAACATAATTACCCTACTTTTGGCCAAAGCTGAACCCTTTTAGCTCATATGGTCCAAATGCCGACAGTATACGTCCGAAGTAAGAGTTCACTTGTAGGGGAGTAGTTCATATAATAAACCTTTCCTAAACTATTTTCATCAACAGTTACCATTCGCTTCACAAATAGATCGGTTTGTTAGGATACAACAGCAGTTCACAGCTAGAAATTCAGTTCATAGGGTTTTCTCGTAAACTCATGTGACGCCCATACATTGAACTTTTTCGTGTATGCAGTCTCTTTTGAAGTAGATCTCGGGTCAGACGATTTCCATTATTTTGTCGACATTTTCGACAATTGACCTTCTATATCATGGTACATCTTTTACATCAAAATTATCGGAACGAAATCTGAGAAAGTGTGGATGACCGACTTCTACTGTCTCAGGAACATAAAGACTATTCACATTTTCAGCTGCATGACTGAGTTAAGTGATCAACACTTTTTCCATTATCTTATTTAGAATATGCAATCACACTTGTAGAAAGCGATATCACTGAAACCGTCTATTGCAAACATAATGGATTACTTTTTACTAGCCCGATATTTTCCCATTTTTATATATAAATATTTTTTTAATAATTCTTGACACATTTAGAATTTTTTTAAAATAATAATTAAAAAAAAAAAGGATCCAAGAACTTAATACTTTTTTCGATAAAAATTACCAAATTTTTTTATTTTTAAATTATTTAAATTTTTTCTTATTATACTGAATATTGCGAGCAACATAAACTCAGATTAAAAATTTAATTTTTTTTGCAGTTAAATGGCAAAAAAAGCTAAATAGCTTAAGCTCTGAGACAAAAAAATGTTTTCACTTCTAAAATTCTGTTCCCAAAAAATTCGGAAGTTTTACATTTAAAAAACTTTTTAGAGATTTGCACACTTTGGTTTAAATATAGTACTGAAATATTATTATTATTACATTAATTTTTACAACTCCAAATTGTGCTTCACAAATTCAGAGATTAAAAGCGATAATATCCCAAAGGTGGTCCATCCATCGCAGCTCTCTACCCTCCATTTGTTGTCTTTGCAATTATTCTGCTCGCATTGCACGTGTCTAAATGCAATGGCAAATGCTAACAAGCATGTTGCATGCAACATACTTGTCTACTTGTATGCAGCCAGTAGCTGCAATAAAAAGATTTTTAGCGGCACTTTGCAAGTAACAAGAATTTAAAGGCATACATACGTACGTACACATATCCACACGTGCATACAGATGTATTCATATCATTGCAATTTGTTGCATGCGTGCGTGAATTTAATTTTTTAAATTTATTTTATTGCTTGCAGCAATTTGTTGCATTGTAAAAACCAGCTACTTTTGCCTCGAAACTCATTATGTATGTATGTTGTATTCACATTCATACTCATATTCATATGTAATAATTACTATATTAATATGCATGAGTACAAATTTACGGGCATACATACACGTATAATATTTAATAAATTTTTATTAATGAAGATTTTTGTTGCCCTCACTCCGCACTCTAGCAACTTTTTTTTTTGATTTTAACACATTTCTCAAATATTGAAAATTAATCTAGTTCAAAAGTATAAAAAAAAATTATTTAAAAAACCAAATAGTAAAATATTGATTGGTCTGTGGAAGAGAGAGGTTAGGAAACTGACCCCAAGCGCTCACATTTAAGTCATTAAATTGGCTCATTGCGAACATTTCGTTTGATTTAATAAATTTATTTTTTCTTCTTGTCTTGAAAGACAACGCCTCAGTCGGTAGTAAGTTGAGCATTCGCTAAGGCTGATCTCCAGCGTTTCATCCACTTCTTTGCATTCACAACCTCGTCAAGTTCTTGAAAATTATTTAATAATTTCGTGGCAGGCACCCTCTAATCAGCTCTTGCTCAGTGAAAGTAATAGTTTGGTCTGTCCGATCCACATAAACCTAATGGCAAGTTATGGCTTTCGTACGAAGACCTCAAATGTTCCTTAAGAGCTTTAGTCAGGTCAGTCAGGGCGCTAAAGGTCTTAAGCAGTGGGTGGTGTAAAACACACCAGCATCGTCATATCGAGCCAACTCCACCCATTTGGTGATTTTTGTTACCCTGAATATAGCTGTGACCAGTGACCCAGGTTATGTGCACTATATGTTCGAGTGGAAGCCTGTTAACTGCCTCCTTGCATATTTTCACACGTTTATACTTTTTTTAATAGTAGACTGCTTGGCTGTATACCAGAAACCTGCTGGATTGTTCCATTGAAGTGTTTATCTATTTTGCACCTTCAGTAAACTCTACACTGCTCTCTACTCTGCTAGTTGTTTTGAGAGAGTTTGAAGACAACATCGTTATTGTGGCGGTCATAGAAAAACTCTGCCGCTCTGTTAGACCTTTCTGTGCAGATCTATATAATTATTTATTATTGCTGTTGAGCTTGCCTTCCGCCAATTCCTAGCAGTGGAAGTAGGTGGCATCTATCCGGCAGGAAGTTTATGTTTCTCAGTTCCATTTTAGGCTAAGCTGGTTATAAGAAAATTTCTATATACCAAGCTCCTCCCAATTAGTGGAATGTATCCGAATTGGAATTCGTAAGGTCTTCAAAATTTGATAAGATATCGGGCAGACCAGATCTAAGTGCATGGACCACGAAGCGTCAATATTTTGGCGCTGTAAATTTATATATACTCTTCTTGGTCCTACTTACTAATACTTTAGTTGTTGCCTTACCTTCATTGTGCCAAATCCGTTTCGATTTCCAACAAGTGGGCGTGGATTAAAAAATGTTCTAAGCGAGTTTCTTCAAATTGTATGTGAAGATCGGTCCAGATCATTCTTAGCAGTCATGGCGTTAACTTCGTCGAGAAAAACTCTTCACTCAGCCAACTCATCGCCTTCTCTCTTGAAGATCGAAACAACTTTAATGAAACTTTGTTTTTTGACAGCAATAATATTGAGAGGTCGATAAAATTATGCCGACACAGGGAGAAATAAATTTTTTCTAATTAATATTTTTTACTTCAAAAAAAAAAAAAAAAAAAAACAAGAAAAAATTTCCTCAAAATCATCGCATAAAAACGGAAATAGACGCTTGAACTTAACACTGATCTTCAGTTAGCACTTGAACCTACAAATCGTGCAAAATATTTCCCCAAGACAACCACAACACTTTGCTAACGCCAACGGTAATTGTCACAATGTCAACGACAAGTAGCCGACAACAAACGAGTGACAGGCGACAGAGTTGAATTGAATTGAATTGAACTGCATTGAATGGCAATTGACGATCGAAGCGGCGGCCAGCTGATGGTGAGCGGAAAAAATGTGGCAGAAATGTAGCAGAATGTGGCAGAGATGCGAGGAAAAATGGCAAGAGAAGTAAAATAGGAAAAAGTCAGGGCAAATGCACGCAAGGCATTAGGTGAAAATGGCAGTTATGTAGATAGATGAGTTTTTTTTGTTGTTGTGTTATCTGTGGTGTTACATCTATGGCCGGGCACGCGATCAAATCGTATTCACACACATAAATTGGCATTTAAAATAACGCGTTTTTTCAGCATACAAGTTATGCCGCCGACTGACTGAGATTTGATGGGAGTTAATTGGTGGCATTTTTGTCATTTTTACCATTATTTGCTTGTTGTTTGGCATTTTAAAAGGAAAAATCGTTTGTTGGAAATAATTTTCATTTTATTTATTTATTTCATCTCATTTTTAGTGTTCACTTTTTTAATTAAATTTCAATAGGAAGACAATGGTTTAGAGCTTCCTTAAAAAAGTTGGCTTACA